TTTAACTCTGCTAGAGAAGAAGCTCTTTGCCTACATTTAATCTTCCACCAAAGAGATGAGTAGCACAGATTCAGCAGGTTCAAACTGTTTCCCAGGCAAACATGGAATTGATTCGTTGTAAACATTTGCTTCTGGAAAACTCTATGAATATGGAGAATTCAGCCAACATCTTCTATTTTTTTTTTTTTTAATGCCAACTCTGCTTTTGTTTTTGTTTTTCATTTTTCCTCTTCCCTAAAAGAAAATGGCATACAGCTTAAGACCTAGAAGGGAGTTTTCAACTGAAAAGAAATGAACAAACCCCAAAAATGTTCTGTGCCAGTAGCTGAACTGCTTATAGAGAACAACTGAAGGAGCTTGCCTATGACTTACACTGTGAAAGCAGAAAGTTCAACCGACATAGGGTTTTAAATAGTAGCTAAATATTTTAAAATGTGATTCTTAAATGTTTTGACACACTCAAGTCCTTGGAAAATAGTCGGTGAAGGGCAGGGTTAAAGAGGTTTCTGCTTACAGAAATTAAAAAAAATTATATGTATATATAGACATTTATATACTTCCATATACTAGAGTGAAGCCAGGCCTTCCTGCCCTCTGTTTGGACAAATTTTATGTCAAATTGGGTGATGTAAATATTTTCTTTGATCATGCAGAAAGCAAGCCATGCTGGAAGGCAGAATGCTTGCGCTTCATAAAGTGACACTGACAATCTGCCAGACTTCTTCGTTTTGTCCCAGAATGGTGACTAAGGCTCAAAGCTTAGAACCCAGACACTAAGTATTCCTCACCCCAATTCTAAAATAAAAGAAAAACTAGTAATAGAGCTCAGCCACCACTCCACAGAGCATTCCTGCCACTGCCATCCTGAAATCCAGACAACATAAGGAGAGAACTACTGGGAGAAAGGAAGTTGGTTCTTTGGAGAGTACAGTATTCTTATGGGGTAAGGTAGATGGATGCATGTTCTGAAAACAAGGGAGAGAGGTTACAGTAATGTCAATAGCTGATACTCATTGAGTACTTCCTTTGTGGTAAATGCCTTTGTACTCATGTTACATGTATTATTTAATTCTTGCAACAAGAAAGACATGCTCTATTATCCCCATTTTACAGATGAGGAATATGAGGTACATAGAGGCTAAATAACTTGCCCAAAGGCCACAGCTAGTATGATGTGCAGCTGGACTTGGGGACAAGCCTTTAGAGTCTATGTCTTAACCATTATCCATACTGCCTCAAGAAATTCGATCATAAAAATGGGGGCTCCAACAGAAAGGGCCAGTGGTCTATCTGGCTGGCTGAAAAGATGTTATGATGTAGATTGTTGTGACTATACCTAATTAATGTGAATTTAGTACTGTAACCTTTTAATTTAGGAATACATTTCAATAGCAGCCTGTGATGGTTATGATTGTGTGTCAACTTGGCTGGGCCTGGTTGAGTGGCTGTGCAGCAGTATTCCCCATTCCACAACTCCATGGTGGAATCTACTGTGAGCAGCTGAGTAGCTGCCTTAGAGATGTGGTCTGCTTCCCGTATATAAGGAGAAGTCTTAGGAAATGGTCTCTATCTTATGACATGCTTGAACCCTGCATGTAGCCATGTCTTTATTCAGCAGCATGCCATGATCTGCCAACCTTGGGATTTTCAATGGACTTGAATTAATGGCCTGCCGTGTGGTTTGATAACATCAGGACTGTGCCTTTTTACTTGTCAACTTTGGGCTTGTCAGTCTCAGCAGCCCCTAGCTGTTTGAGTGAAGAAAAGCCTCTAGCTTCAGTGGGCCAGAAGCAGGAGGCAGAGCTGAAGCCCAAGGTCAAAGGGCTTTCACACAGACTCTAGAGTCTAGCACTTTGAACTTGGACTTCTAGCCTCCCAACCTGTAAGAGAATAAACTCTTGTTTGTTCAAGCCATCCCATTTGTGGTATATTCCTGTTAGAGCGGCACTAGGAAACCAGAACACAGCCAAATGCTAAAAAAAAGAAAAAGAGTACATCTTAATTAAAGGCTGAATAAAAATGTGATTTGTGCATTGTTTGCACAAATTACTAGGTTGTATGTAATTAGGTGTTTTCTACCATGAGATGAATTAGAATTCAGAAACTAATTAATTTAGAAGTAATGTAGAAACTTGTAAATAAAACAAAGAAATTTATATTTCTACAGATCATACATATGAACATTTTTTTTAAATTTAAGGGGTGAACAAGTCATTATGCATTATGTTTATATAAGTTAAATCAAATCATATATATTTTATATCTGTGTATTTTATATATCTAATAAGGAAGGTTGGGCAATCCTACTTCCGTAGTGATACTGCCTCGGAAACCCAAGGAGGGGTCGCTATGAGTCGGGGCCGACTCGACGGCAAACA